GCCCACAGAGACCCCATTTGCAGTCCACACCCACAGAGACCCCGCCCACAGAGACCCCACCTGCAGAGACCCCACCACAAAGACCCTGCCCACAGAGACCACACCCACAGAGACCTCACCCACAGAGACCTCACCCACAGAGACCCCATCCACAGGACCCCGCCCACGGAGACCCCCACCTGCAGAGACCCCGCCCACAGAGACCCCACCCGTTGCCCTTCCTGGCTCTAGGGCTCACCTTGAAAGACAGTTCGAGGTTTTCAGCACCGCTTGGAGACATGAGGGGCTCGTACGCGCCAGTGTTTTGGAAGTAGTGTCTGTCCACGGCCACCACCTCTCTGGGCACCACAGGGCTCCTGGACAGAGAAGAGGGACAAGAGACCGCAACTCAGAACCAAGGCGCTCCCCAGCAGGGCGGGCAGTGTGGCTGCAGCGGGCTCTGGGCTCACTTGGGCCCCGGGGCTTTCCACCATTGCCTGAAGTAAAGCAAGGGTGTCAAAAATCCCCGCGCTTTGTGGAGGGATGATTATGGCCGCCCAGGACTTTCCACCCTGCCTGCTGTCCCAGGGACCACGCTGGGGCTCCCCTAGCTCGGGCTCGCGGGGCCCTGGAGAGGCGTTCGGGAAGGAGGCTGAGGTTTGAGTGTGAGAAGGGAGCAGCCGGGCTCTCCCCTCCTCTCTTTCCCCTCCACGTCTCTGGTTTCTTTCTTCCTGGTGAGGGAGCTGGGCCAAGATCCTGGGTCAGCCTCTTTCACTTCCCTGCACCGCTGCTACCTGCGGGAGCGTCACTGGACCCCAGTGACTTACCGACCACACCCACCCGGTACCACCCGCCCCTGCGCTCTGGGAGAAGGCAGCCGGCGCACCTGATAGGGCTGATGGGGGACTGGAGGGCTTTCCGCGCGTGCTCCGGCAAAGGCTCCCAGCGGAAATCCAGCCTCCAGTCCAGCACCCCACGCTGCAGCTCCGGGGAGGGTTGATAATGGAGAGTCTTCCAGTCCACCACGTCTATGACCGGAGACACCACACGGCTCCTGCAGACAATCGTGGGCTCAAACGAGGGACACAAACCCGTCGCCGCCTGGAGGATGCACACACAATCCACACTGGGGCTTCCCACCAGCCCCTCGTGCCCACCGGGCACCTCAGCTGTGGGTTGTCCAGACGGAGACGTGGCTGAAGTGAAACACACAGCCCGGATAGAGAAGGAATACGTGAAAAAAAAAAAAAAAAGTATAGGAAATCTTAATAGCTTTTGTATTGATCATACGTTGAAATGATAATATTTGGATGTGTTGGGTTTACCAAAAATATGTTGCTAAAATTAATTTCACCTGTTTCTATTTTGTAATGTAATTATTAGACATTTTAAAATCACATGTATGGTGGCCGGTGCTGTGGCGTAGCTGGTAAAGCTGCTGCCTGCAGTGCAGGCATCGCATATGGGCGTTGGTTCAAGTCCCGGCTGCTCCACTTCCCATCCAGTTCTCTACTATGGCCTGGGAAAGCAGTAGAAGATGGCCCAAGGCCTTGGGCCCCTGTATCTGCATGGGAGACCTGGAAGAAGCTCCTGGCCGTGGACTGGCCGAGCTCCAGCAGTTGGGGCCATTTGGAGAGTGAACCAGCAGATGGAAGAGCGCGCGCTCTCTCTCTCTCTCTTTCTCTAACTCTGTCTTTTGAATAAATAAATAACCATCTTGTTAAAAAAGTTCACAGAAAACATGTATTAGGAAAATTATCCCTGGATTTCAATATTTCTTTCTGTGTATACCAAAATAAACTTACCTTCTAATATCTTTTTTCCATGAGATTTTTGAAGAACCCTCATGTGAACCAGAGAAGCAAAGAATGCCAGCTCTTTGTGAAACTTTGCTGATCACAGAATCAAATGCTTCTACTTGATGGCTGCGTAACCTATGGCCTAGGGTGGTTTGGAGACTGTCAACTCCCTATTCGGGTTCTGCTGTAGTCTTAATGAAAACAGCTGACTTTTTGAGCATGAGCATTTAACCTAGCAGGTAAGATACCCTCGTCCCACATCGGAGTACCTGAGTTTAATTCCTGGCTTTGGCACCTAACTCTAACTTCCCTCTAATGCAGACCCCGGGAGGCAGCAGACGATGCCTCGAGTACTTTGGGTTCCAGCCATGCACATGGGAGACTTGGGTTGAATTCCTGACTGCTGGCTCCAGCTTCAACTCAGCTCTGGTCACTGTAGGCATTTGGGGAATGAACCAGCTGATGCGCTCTCTCTCTCTCTCTCTCTCTCTCTCTCTCTCTCTCTCTCTCTCTCCTGTAATTAAATTGCCAGATTTTCATCAAAGGTAACGATAACCGTTGTATGACATTACCCTTCCCATGCAACTTAATAGGATTTTTTAAGTATTCATAACTCCTCAGAAAAGTGTGCTCTGGGCTGTTTCTTGCTCTAAAACACAAGGATATGGACTGGAAGGACTCCCCCTGCTTCTTCACCTGCAAACTACCTAGAAACAGCTGTCCCCAGCGGCAGGGACCTGGCCATCTCTGTGGTGCACAGATGCCCGGAGAGAGGCGGGGGCTGCACAGCATTCCCCCACCCCCAGGAGGGATTACCTGTCGCCGGCTATTCTGCTGAGGAGGGGCTCCAGCCAGCCGGGGTGGCACTCGCAGTGGGCATCCATGAAGACCAGCACGTCCCCGGTGGCCCTGGCGGCCCCCAGCATTCGGGCCCCGACGGTGCCCAGCCTCCTGTTGCTTCTGAGCAGCCTCACTCGCTCCAGCCTGGCCACGTGCTCGCTGAGAGCAGACTTGAGCTGTCCTGGAGTTGCAGGGTCACGGTCAGTGGGCTGGGGGAGGCCGCCACTGACTAGGGTCAGTCATGCGCTCTCTCTGGGGACCACGGTCCCGACACGCAAGGATCTTATTGTGGTGTGGTTGTTGCTATGGCGCCCGACGCTTCCTTGGTTTGGGATGGGTCAGGGTTTTTCCACTAAACACCAGGAGGGGTGGTGTTGTGAAACCAGCGAAGAGGAGAGCTTGCTGGTGTGCTCTGAATGAGCACTTACCCTCAATCAATCAATCAATCAATCAAAATCCCATGCACACGGGTCCCCATCTGGGGCTTAGCTTCTTGGAACACCAGCCACAGGGGAAGTCCTAGCAGATACCATTGGTGTCCTGTCTGGGTGTCCTGGGGTCCCTTTCACTGGTTGCTTGTCCCCCCGCCGCTGTGGGTGTGCTTCAACCTGTACCCTTTCTGGAAACGTGTCCTTGGGTACCCAGGGCTCATGCAGGACACGGCCCCCAGCCCCGGGTGCCCAGGTCAGACTCTGCAGTGAGGTTTACGCTCCAGCCCACTCCCCACCTGGGGACAGAGGCCGCCCCCCGGGACACCCTCAAAACCATCGCATCTCAGGGGCCGCTTCTGGGGCACCTGGCCTCAGACTGTAGACTCAGGGGCCGCGTCTACACAGAGAAGCAGTGGTCTCCAGGAACCCTTGGACAAAGGGAGCTTCTGCCAGGACGAAGACCGCCCCCAGGGCAAGGGACCCTGCCTCCTGGGCCTCTGCTGCCGCGAGCCCGCGGGCAGGGCCTGGCCGCCAGGAGGCGCTCAGCACCCGCGCCGAGCAGAAGCGAACCAGGAGTCAAGTAGGTGCGCCCGGATCCCCACGCTGGGGCGGCCTTGTCCGCGGTTGGAGCAGCTGGCTGGGTTTCTCTGGAGGCCGAGAAAGATCCAGACAGTCCCCAGCACACTCCTTGTGCCATACCTCCGACGCCCCCTGGCTGCCCCAGCTTTTCTTAATGGCCAGCAGGGTCCTCTGGGGACCCGGGATCCGCAGCCTGTAGGCTGTTGCATTTCTCACTGGCAGAATGCTGGGCTGATGGAGTACATAGTAATGGCTTTTCTGGTAAGGTTGGCAGCCTGGAGCCAGTCTCTAGAGAGGGACCTCTGTTAGCTTAGCTATTCAAATCTATCGATTTGTGAGTGGGTGGCTGGGCTGTGTTGAGTGTTTCTTCCCCCCTTCCACGTCTCTGACTGAGCTCAGCTTAGCTCAAAGCAGCTAAAAACACCTTGCAAGCCTTAGGGGCAGCTGTTGTGGAAATAAACTAGGTGAGAGGACTTCCTGAGCTATAAGAAAGATGAATCTCCGGGTTGGTTAAGACACTGCAGCAAATAAATCACAATCCCTCCTGATCCACCAGCCTGGTGGTCAGGGGCAGAGGGAGAGTGGGCGCGGGGTGAGCGGCTTCGTTGCTGGCCAGGGCCCCTGACACCCAGAGGTGGGGCTGCTGGGAGGCGGTCGCTTCCCCAGAGACAAGGTCATCGTGGGTGGGGAAGGGCTGGCTCCAGGAGGACCCTGGCTCTGCCCAGGGCTTGGAGAGCACCTACACGGGCCAGCCGGGCCAGTGCTGCACCTGCGCGCCCCTCCTGCCGGCGCCACCCACCGCCGTGAGCAGGCTGGGCAGACAGAGGCCCCTGGCCATCGTGTCTCTCCGCGGCCAATCCCGCCTGGAGAGTGATGGGCGGCTCTAAGCAATGCTGTCAAAGCTGATGCACGCAGAGCCTTCGCCCGGGGTCTGCGAGGTTGTGGGCCCTCACAGAGCGACCACCCGAGCACGGGTCTCGGTGAGAGGTTCACTGCACTGAGTACTGAGAGACCCCCTCCGCGGAGCAGCCCTCCACCCAGGCCTCTCTCTTGGTGGCTTCCCCCACGGTCCTCCTGGGGTTTGTCTACTTGCGCTGGATCCCTCACCTGGAGCTCCGCCCCCTGGGTGGGGCGCTTGGCCTAGCCCCCACCCCTTGGCCACGCCCACAGCTACCTTGCTGGCTGAGGTCGTCCACGAGGATGACCTCCTTCAGGACGGCCCGGGGCGCTGTGTCCAGGATGCTGTGCACGGTCCTCAGGAGGGTGGCCCAGGCCTCGTCGTGGAAGCACAGGATGACGCTGGCCGTGGGCAGGCTGCCCTCTGGCGGCGGCTGCAGGCAGCTGCAGGGAAAAGACCCGTGAGCCACAGGCTGCCAGACGCACCCGCCTCTCCCAGGCTCCCCGGGCCCCGCAGTCACAGGCCGCGCCAGCCAGCGTCTTGGGTTTGCAAAGAGACCGCGTCGCACTTGCGGCAGCTCAGCCTCCCGCGGGTGTTGGGAGGTGCTGCCGCCCTTCTGGGGTGGGGGGGTATCGCAAGGACCCGAATTACCAGCCCCCGCAGGCACCTGTGAAGGTGAAAGGGAGGCGGAGTGACGGCCGGGCTCAGCCTGGCCCTGCCCGGGGCAGACACACCAGAAACAGGGTGTCGAAGCGGGTCCTCAGCCCTCTGCAGGCCGTGGTCAGCCACGGACACCAGGGGGCGCTCGGGATCGTATTCGTGGTGGCCTTCATTAACTGCAGCCCAACCACTCCCCGGCAGAGCGTGAGTCCTGAACTACTTCCTTTCTTTAAGCAGAATTACAAAGAGAGGAAAGAGAGAGACAGAGACAGAAAGAGGTCTTCCATCTGTTGACTCACTCCCCCAATGGCCACAATGGCCAGGGCTGAGCCAGGCTGAAGCCAGCAGCCAGGAGCTTCTTCAAGGTCTCCCACGTGAGTGCAGAGGCCCAAGGACTTGGCCCACCTTCTACTGCTTTCCTAGGCCATAGCAGAGAGCTGGATCGGAAGAGGAGCAGCCAGGACTAGAACCAGCACTCATACGGGATGCCAGCGCTTCAGGCCAGGGCTTTAACCTGCTGTACCACAGCACCAGCCCCTCTCACACCCATTTTTGACTCCATTAAGTCCCTTTGGAGCATGGACATTAGTTGACCTCAGTTTCTTCATCTGTAAAATGGACTTGTTAAAGAATTGGATGAGTTTGTGCTCAAGAAGTGCTGCCTTGCTCGCCGGGAGAGCACAGCCAACGTTCTCACTCTTGGATGCCGCCTCTCTCATGCCTGGATGCCTCTCTTGGCCTCGATTGCTTTGTCTACAAAGTTAGGAAGATGAGAAGAGCTACTCGGGTCCCCGAAGCCTGGCCTAACCGTGCAATGTTCTCCACCACGGAGGCGGCCTCCGGGAGCAAAGGTTTCTAATCGGTGGTGTGCTTTCTGGAGCAGCGGCTTTGATAGCTTTGCTTTTGTAAAAATGTGGGCCGTGTCCCTTCAGAAGGGCGGGGTCTGGGGAGGGAGCCTGCGGTAGCCCGCCTTCCTAGCTGCCACGTGTCACTTCCATGCCTTATTTGCAGGCCTATCTGTTCAAATCCTTGACTCGATTTCCAATCAGCCATCTTTTTCTTGTTTGGTTGTAGGTGTTCTTTATGTATCATGAATACAACTCCTCTATTGAGTAGAAGATCTGCAAGTATTTTTCTCTCATTCCTGGGTTCTTTCATTTTTATGATGGGATTCTCTGAAGCACAAGTTTTGTGTTTTTATGAAGTCAGGATTCTCTGTGGCTTTTTTTTTTAAGCCACTAATATACTGGATACCACGCAATACTGGATAATGGACACACTTTCCATCTTGAAGGTGAAGAAGTAAGAGCCCAGAGCGCTTAAGGGGCTTATTTAGGGTGAGTGACACAGCTACCTGCTGAGGTTTGGTCTGACTCCAAACCCAGTGGCCTTGACTGCGTGCACGGAGAGAGGCACGTACGGCCGACTCAGACTAAATGCTGGCAGGATGTTCGGGATTGTGTCACAGACGACGGAGGGTTTTGGAGAAACAGGCAAACTATGAGTTCCTTCGCACAAGCTGCGCCGGCCCCAGGGAGTCAGGGGGGCAGTAACCGTCCTGGCTGCCTTCCACACTCGCTCATCTGGAGCCAGGCCAGGCGCTGTGCCCTCAGCTTCAGACTCAGTTTTAGGGAATGTGCTCTGGTGAGGCTGCTGCCCGCCCTGAATTCACCAGCCCCACCGTGGAGCGCTGGCAGGCTGCCCGCCCTGAATTCACCAGCCCCACCGTGGAGTGCTGGCAGGCTGTCCGCCCTGTCATTCACCAGCCCCACCGTGGAGCGCTGGCAGGAACCCTTTGCAGACAGGGTACCATGAAAGGCTTCTTTACCTCTCAGGACCTCCTGTGTTTCCTCTTCCTGAGCATAACGCTGATGGCATCCATCATGTCTCCTTTCTCGGGTTGGCTCCCGGGAAACTCCGAGTAAGGGACTGGGCTTTTTAGTCACCACAGGGGCTGTGGAAAAATTCTTGGTGGGAGTGTCTGTCTTCATCCCGGCTTCCTCTTCGATCTTGACTTTTGATCCTTCTCTCCACCCTTGGACATATATTCACCAACAGTCTAACGTGGGATAGGATCGGAAGAGGAATTAAATAGATGCGGTCGAAGAGCAGACTCTGGGGTGCACCTGCCCATTGCATTATAACTTCTGGTCGCCAGGGGCTTTCTTCCACTGCAGAGATGACCTCGCTGGGGACCAGCAGTCCTGAAAAGCTGCTTGATGAACTTGTACCTACAACCCAGAGCGCTGCCCCGAGCCAATGACTGAACAGAGTTGAGGATTACACCCAGCACCCTGGCCCCTAGGGGCAGAGGCTGCTTCTGCTGAGATGCTGGTTCTACAGGGAGCTCACAGCTCCCCAGCAGGGCGCATAGAGGCAACTGCCTTGAAAATGCACCTTCCATTAGCTGCCTCCATTCTCCCAGGCCCCACCTGCCAGTCCTCCTTGGGATCATCCGCAAGGCAATTTCTTGTCTTAGGACCTGCTATGTAAGGGGATGCAAACTAAGCTAGTCCGTAATGTTGTGGAGTTTGTAGCCCATTAAACAGATGACCAGGTCATGATTCAACAGCATACCGAGTGCCCAGAGGAAACATTCAAGAAGAGAATGCGTGCGGGTGGGGATCAGTGGTCCTGGCAGGTGTCACAGCCTCTGCCGAGGTCTGGGGGGGGAACCGAAGGAGGGACACTCTCAAAGACAAGTGCACCTCCCCTGATCCTGACCACAAATCACAGTAATAGCAAGCCCCTCTCTTGGGCTGTAGCTTCTAAGCCACTTCAGATCCTCGAGAGAATATGGTAGCCGGGTGATCCAAGCAAGGGGTCGGGGGCTCTACTGCTCTGAACCCCCGGTGCTCTGTGCTGGGGTGGGGTGCACACGACCCCCACCACACGGCACCGGGGCACTGCTGAGGCACGCATCGAGGCAGTGTGAAGCAAAGGCTTTGGGACATTGTAAAGGTGTGATCGCCCCAACTCGCCAGCCCCTCCTACACAGAGGGCTGGGAAGAAAGGCATATTTTTATTATTAAATAATGAGTCTGCTCTCTTTGTGCCTAGTGAGTATTTCCCTATCTCAGGGTGTATTTGCTGTATTCACTCGGTAAGTGTCCAGGAGCCCACACCCCTGACCTCGCCTGCCCATCTTCTAAGTGCCAACAAAGACCCTAAGGCTTTGGAGTCAAATCAGCCCAGATCTGAATCCTGACCCTGCCGTTTACAGCCCCTACTGAGCCAACACTTATGCTGTCACCCTTCCCCAGTGCAGGGGTGCAGCCTGGATTAAGAGGGGTAGCCCTGGCCCATGGGCCTTTCAATCCACACCAGCTTTCTAGTTCCCATTGCAAGATCAGAGGAGCGAAGGCACATGTGTGCAGACATGCTGTGTCGTCATGCAGGGCCAGCATCCCCCATGAACTTGGAAAACACATTTGGATGCTGTTTGGAAGACAGTGAGTCATCACCTTGGGCCGGATGGCCTGGCTGAAGCACCCAGGCTCCCTCTACCCTCCCCTCGACTGGCCAGAGGACAGAGGATTCTACAGATGTTTGGGGGTTACTGGCTCCCAGCTCCTACCCAATCAGCAGAGGCTCCCGGCTTGGTGCTAAGCCCACAGACCTAAAAGCCTGGTTTCTTGTCTGCATTCCGTAGCAAATTCCCCAAGCTCCGTGGGTTGAGGCTGAGCCTTGCTAACCTACTTTTTCTTTTCTTTTCTTTTTTTTTTTTTGTTTTAAGATTTATTTATTTATTTGAAAAAGTCACAGAGAGATGGAGAGACAGAGAGAGAGGAGAGACAGAGATCTTTCATCTGCTGGTTTATTCCCCAAATGGCCAGAGCTGGGACAGGCCAAAGCCAGCAGCCAGGAGCCTCACCTGGGTCTCTCACATGGGTGCAGGGGCCCAAACACTTGGGCCATCTTCTGCTGCTTTTCCAGGTGCACTGGCAAGGAGCTGGATTGGAAGTGGAGCAGCTGGGACTCAAACCGGTACTTCTATGGGATGCAGATGGCGACCTAACCCGCTGCACCACGGCGCCGGCCAATCACCTTCTTCCTTCTAATGGTTGTTAAGTAAATGTTTGTTCGGTGGACAAAGAAAGACGCCATTGTTCCTGTTCCCAGCAGCACAGAGGCTGCCTCTCAGCACTGACAGCGAGTGCTACCCCACAGCCCGTTCCTAGTCCCCAAGAGAAGCTCCGAGTGCAGCAGGCTCGCCTGCAACAGGAGTGGGCAGGTGCATCTCCGGGGCTGCAACCTGCAGGCCAGGCCCGGGGCTGCTAGGGCTGGGCCACAGCCTGGCGCTGAGCCCTCCCCAGAATGGAGCTTAGGGCTAGGAGAGGAGGTCGAGGGAGCTGCAGTGAGCGCTGAGCCTGCCGCCCCCTGCCTATCCCTCTCTGTCCGTGGAAGCTCCTGGCTCCTGGCCTGCTTGCCCAGGCCACAGCAGAGAGCTGGGTTGGAAGAGGGGCAGTCGGGACTAGAACCGGCACCCACACGGGGTGGTGGCACCACAGGCAGAGGATTAACCTACTGCACCACAGCGCTGGCCCCTGCTCCACTTCCAATCCAGCTCTCTGCTATGGTCTGGGAAAGCAGTAGAAGATGGCCTAAGCCCTTGGGCCCCTGCACCCACGTGGGAGACCCGGAAGAAGCTCCTGGCTCCTGGCTTTGGATTGGTGCAGCTCCAGCCATTGCAGCCAACTGGGGAGTGAACCAGCGGTTAGAAGACCTCTCTCTCTCTCTCTCTCTCTCTCTCTCTCTCTCTTCCTCTCCTTCTTTCTGTGTAACTCTGACTTTCAAATAAATAAATAAATAAATCTTTACAAAAGAAAAAAAAAAAAAGAAAGAAAAAGAGAAGGTTGGGGACAGAAGGGCAGGATACTTGAGCAGGTGCCTGGCCGCCAAGTGCTGAGGGATGCTGGGAAGGCCAAGTCCTCCAAAGTCCTAGGGACGGAGAGCTTCCTGCCTGCCCACTTCCCCCAGCCTTGTCTGGAAGGTTCCCTGCCCCTCTTTTCCTCCCCGTGGAAACCTGCCGTAGCCCCTCAGCACAAGCTATCTGAGCAGCTCGGTTCCTGTTCACCTGTTGGGCCTGGCTGCACCGTGGAATCACTGCGAGCGGGGGCCGGGGTGGGGGTGGGATTCCCGTGGTCCTGGTTGATGGTGATCCGCAGGCTCTCCGACGTGTGGTCAGGTGGAACATCAAGCAAACCCCTGGCCTTGGTAGGGCTCCTGCAGCTCCTACACGAACGTGACTCACCCGAGTTTTTATCCAGTGGGTCTGAGTGGGACTTGAGATGCTGCAAGTCTGGTACCACACGATGAGGGCTCTGGGGTAAAGAGCACCAGTGATTTCCCCCCGACCCCTCCCCGGAGATGGAGAGACACAGGTGTGGGTCACCACCTCCAATCCAATCTCATGGCCACCTGGGTTTGTCCCAAAGTAGAGAGCGGGACCCTACCTCATGGGCTACTGTGAGGACACGACCCTCTCCTGGCGTGCTGCTCAGCTCTGTCTACACTGCAACCCCATGGAAGGATGGGCTGCAAGCTGGGAGCTTGTACCTTTGTGGCTTGTGGCTTGGAGAGTGGGGCCCAAGTGGAGCAGGCTCGTCCTGTCTGTGCTGGGCTGCGTACCCCGTCCTGGGTGGTGGGGTGGGGAGGGCTGAGCTCCAGCCTGTCCCTGTACCACCGCCCCCTGCCCTGGTCCCCTGGCTGTCTTGCATGTCATTACCCACCCCCAGATGTATGGATGCTCCTGCTGGCTGACCCTGCGCTGCTTTGCGGTCTCTTGGGCTGTCTTGGCCCAAAGCAGGTGGGCAGTCATCCTGGGGTGGCTCTACCAGCTACTGCGGGGAACTGGACAGAGCCTGTGCATTGCAACAGCGACCCCTGCCTGGCAACAAAGCTGCGGCCAGTGTGCTGCCCCTGCTGTGGCCCCTGCACTTCAGCAGACCCCGAGTGAGCCCCGGGGAACGAGGAAGCTTGAGTAGCCACGCTCCGGCCAGTCAGTTGGGTAGGAGGAGGTGGCTGGAGGAGAGCTTCTCACGGTGTCCCTGGATGTGCAGCTGCACCGGCACCCTGGAGGGAGCTGGCGGAGGCGCCCCTGCGGGAGCCCCCGCTGGGCGGGAGCCAAGGATCTGCTAACCGGGAAAGGCTCCGACTTCCACGCCCTGACCTCGGGAGCAGCCTTGGAGCACTGCGCAAATCCTCCTCCTCGGCCTCACTCCCCACAGTCCTTCTCTCTGCTGCACCTGCAGAGTGGAAGCCACTTCATCCCCACCCTGCACGTCGGACCCGACCCTGTACAGAGTGGCCCCTGACGCTGTTGCGCTGTGCACCCCTTTCTGTGTCTTTCTTCCTCACTCAGCAGAGCGCTGCCTGGGGACCCTTCACTGTGCCAGGTGCTACACCCCAACCTGAGCTCCTCTGGGGCTCCGCGGTGAGACATCAGCTGGCTTCCGACTCCTCAGGGCCACCCCAGGTGCCGGGATCAGCATCCTCCCACGAGTCTCCCCATGCACCTCTGAGACTTCTATGAAACCACTTGAAATGCCTGCAGCCCGTGTGACTTCCCCAACCCCTGGCCTGGGAAGTGAAAGCTTAAAAGTCTGGTGAGACTTTGGTGTCAGACAGCCCAGGTCCCTCCACCTTTCTGTGCCTCGACTTTCCCATCTGTCAAACAGAACCTACCCACCAGGCTTGTTGTGGGAATCCCTGAACACCACGCGGCAGAATCTGTAGCACATAGTTAGCGCTCCATAAACATTGCCAGAGACCCCTTTTACGATTCCTTTCACATGGATATTTTTCTTTTGGGGTCTTGCATTATTGGCAACTTTCCTAGCTTAGCTCCTATTCAAACTGAGCCCAGCAATGACCCCAGAGGTACTCAGAGAAGGCCCGTGTCCTGGGCAAGGGGAAACAGGCACCTTGTGCTGTAAGAATTGAGCCCGGGGATTCAAGGTCTGAGCAAGGGTTGGTAGTGGTGTCCTACAGTGGGAGGCAGGGACTCTGAGTGCTCTAGTGTCCGTCCCCCTTGCCCTGATGGGAAAACAGCAATGCAGGGCCTGTACACAGTAGGTGCCTAATATATGCTGTTTTTGTCCTGTGTTGTGTTTCTGCCCATTTTTAAAGGGGTGGGTTGGGAGGAAAGTGCTGTCACCTTAGGTGAGGGTGGTGGTGGCTGCCTCTCTGGGGTGTTCAGGCAAGGTGTGGGGGAGGGGAGGGCTGGCAACCACCTGCTGGTGGGAGGCAGGTCTGGGCCCCCCACCTCACCCCGGACTGCTCTGCACTGGCTGTACGTGCTGGAACGGCCGGCAGGGGGCGCTGCACGCCTCCGCAGGTAGCCGGCGGCTGTGCGAACCTGAAGCTGGGGGACCAAGCCTCCTGTTCCCCTCCCCACTGGGGTGGAGGCAAACCGAGACGAGTGGATTACCCCGGCTGAAGAAGTACCTGTTGAAGAGTTCCCATCGAACACACGTGGCACAAAATACACCCAGACTTGCACCACACACTTGCACACATGTACGTCACCTCACACCACATGCATGACACACTCAACACACAACCAATACACAGCCACACAAGCACCAGACAATCAAGTACCTGTGCATATCATACCACACCAACATACTCCACACGCAGACGTGCTGCACAAACATATGCACAGAGCACACACAGCAAAATTCACCCACACTTCTGTCAAACACACATGACACATTCATGCACTTCATACCACATGCCTAACACACTTGCATGAGTACACACATCCCACTCATCCAATGCATTTCTAACACATGTGGAACACATGATATTCACCCAGTCCACACAAGCAGAGCATGCCTACACAACAGTCACAATACAACACATATGCACATGTGCACCCTGCAAACATGCAAAGAACACATTGCAACACACATATGCACCACATACATGATATATGCATGCATACCAACACCAACACATGTGCACACATGACAAAACATCACACCATTAATACCTACACACTCACACCTCATACACAACATACACAGGCAGCAGGCACACAGGCATTACACATTGTACCACAGACAACAAGAATGCACAGTATCTATTTAATACCTACACAACAGTGCTCACACAGCGTGCAGTACTTACACTACACACACCTGCACAAACACACAGACACAATGCACCCACGGATGTGCGTGTGTACTACGCAGACACACACAGTCACACACACACGTCCTTGTGGACCTCCTTGTTTGAGGCGATGTTTCTCGTTTGTAAAATGAGGATGTTCACGCTGGCTCTAAGGCAATGGCAGAGTGGGTGAGAAGTTTGAACAGCACATGCCCACTCACTCAGCGATCATTTCTGTAACTGCTGTGCTGTCCACACTCAGTCCCCACCCTCCCTGGGGCTCACAGCATGGCAAGGGAAACAGCCACATCCCTGACCAGTTAGCTTCACTGGCCATGAGTGCACTGAGCTCAAACTCCAGGGTGCAGACGAATGGGCGGGAGCTAGAGCTGAGACAGGACAGGTGGGCAAGGGCCCCAGGGCACGCAGCACGCAGTGTGGGGAGGCGTGGGCTCCCGGGTGCTGAGCCTGCCTTTGCCTGCCCTGGAGATCTGGGCTGAGGGCTGACCAGGGCAGGGGGCCCGAGGAGGATGTGGCCCTGCTCCCAGCTGCTGTCCCACACGTGTCCTCTGACCCCGAGGGGTACGGGATGTGTATGCTTTCCAGGAAACTGCTCTGGGAAGAGCAGCGACTTACAGGGGAGGGACCTCGATGGTTCCACTCACCAGCTACATCAGTCCCTGTGCACTGGTCAGCAGCCACCCCCGCCAGGGTGACGGCGAGGCCACCAGCTACCTAGGCACAGGAGCTGAGCTCCTGGGCCCTGGAGCACTCCCCTGGGACCGCTGGACTAGGTAGCACAAGGTGGTGCTTCCGGCTTACTCCAGCTCAAATGCCTGACTTCATCTCCTGCTCTGGTGTCTACTAGCTCTGCGACTGTGGGCAAGCCACTCGGCCTCTCTCTGCCTCGTCTGCACACTCCTGAGACCGGCACCCATCCTACAGAGTCCTAAGGGCTTCGCAAGTCAGCGCCCGAGCAACTCTTCCATTCCACCCGGGTCCGTGGCAAAGTCCACACACACTTCACCTGTTACTTTGCACCAAAGTAAAAGCAAACACAAACAACCATCCCACTATGCAAAGATGCTCAGAGGCGCTGGACGCAGCCTTGGGGGGGGCGTGGTGGGGGGGATGCACGCTCCGCCCTCCCCCTGTGCTATGCAGATAACGCCAGAGATAACCCCAGAGGGCGCAGACACAGGGGACGGGTGGTGAGGAGGAAGGAGTTGCAGTGGCTCACTTTCCCCTCCCTAGGACAGTGGTTCGTCCCCCGGGCGCTCATTCAGTACACAGCCCTGGATCCCACCTGCACACCGAGGAGACGCCGGAAGTGCGCGTCCCTGCCCCACACGCCGGGCAAGGGAAGGCGAGGGCGTTACTTACAGCGGGTGCCGGGCCTCGGGCAGGGCCCTCTGCAGGGGCAGGCGCGCGCTGAGGGCCTCGCTGAGGCCACGTGGGTCCAGGCCCAGTGGGCTCAGGGCCTCTTCTTCAGACACCTCCCCGTCCTCCTCCTCGGCCCCCCAGTCTCTGTCTGGGGCTCCCTCGTCCTGCCTCCTTCGAGGCTGCTTGATGAGCCGGTAGATGCCCCCTCTCCTGCCGCGGCTCTGGTTCCTTCTGGCCCTGGGGGAGGCCACGGCCACCAGCAGCTCATCCTCCCGCAGGGAGATCAAGGGCGGCAGCCCCTCCAGGGGGCCGTACTCTTCACCCTCGGCTTCAGCCTCCAGCACCCACTCCTGGGAGTCCCCAAAGTGCAGGCGGTCCCCAGCATCCAGGCTGCGCTGGCTGGCCGGGGCCGTGCCAGGGTGGCGGTTGGTGTGCGTGGGAGGGTGCAGCATGGCTGCCATCACCAGCATGCAGCCCAGCACCGGCAGCAGCAGGAGGAACTGGAGTCGCTGGCGAGGCCCCGGCCGGTACCGCTTTCTCAGCAGCATGGTGCTAGGACTTGCCAAGTGCAACAGGTCATGTTCAAGTTCACGGTCTTGCCCCTCTCTGGGCTCCTTGCAGCTTGCAGTGGTTTTCCAGTTGCTTGTTCCACCTGGAGGGTTTTTGCCAGTCCCTCACCCTGCTTCTTTCCCCCCACCTCGCGTTGGCCAGCTGCCGTGTATGGGACCTGTTTGCACCCGCAATCAGAAAGCCCCAGGACCCAAGTCCCACCCAAGGCTCTCTGGCTGGATTTCTGTAATTGCTTCCTGAAAACCCACGCACGGGGATTTCACATGCAACTGCCCGTTCTCCTGTCGCCCTGCTATTCTCTTTGGGAGAACAATGATGACTCCGCGCTGCTCAGGTGCATGGTCCCATGGGTGCCTTTCGCTCTCTGCAAGGATGGGCAGACGTCCGGGGGAGCTGTGGAGTCCCCGTCCAGCAGCGGCCGACGGCCATCCTCCTTTGGACGCCTCAAGTCGGGTCAGATCAACAGATGCGAAGCCGGCAGGCAGCGCCTGATTTCCTTTCACACATGCTCCGCTCAGCCCTGAGCCCTGTGCCAGACGCAGCCCGAGCCAAGCCCAGCCTCGCTCCTGGTCCTAATGCCCTCACTGTTCCCAGGCTGCTTCTTCACACAGCCCGGTGGCGTCCCTGCTGGAACCAGATCACAACAGGAACAGCCCAGGAGTTCGGAACTGAATCTCGTTTGGAGGAAGAATTCATTTAGTACCCAAAGGAGCAGGAAAGAGCAGTCTATTTCCTCGTGGTCCAAAAAGGCTGCGTGTGAGACGCGGCGGAACCAGCGGTCTCTCTGTATCCTCAGCCTCCCATAGGTGACCTGCCAAGCTGGAATAGACTCTCTGTCTCTTGCTGGGGACCACAGATGCTGTCCTGGACATGAAGCTCTGGGAAAGATGCACTTGCAAAGCATTTCCGCTCCCGCAGCATCAATGGCCTGCCTACTGTGTACCAGCTCCCTTTAGTCAACCAACCCACATTTAGTGAGCATCTGCTATGTGCTAAAACTGTGCTGGGGACTGAAACAAGAGAGGTGAAGAAAATAGGCAAAAAATGTGCACCTTGGGGAACTTCCCTTCTAGTGGGGGAACAGAGAACTCATTAAAACATCTGGCCAGGAGTTAAGACATGGCTTGGGATGCCTGCATCCCATACCAGAGTGCCTAAGTTTGAGTCTCAGCTTCGCTTCTGATTCCAGCTTCCTGCTATTACAGAGCCTGGGGAGGCAGCAGGTGGTGGTCCAAGTACTTGGGTCCTTGACAGGCACGTGGGACAACTGGATGGAGTTCCAGGCTCCTGGCTTCAGCCCAGCCCAGCTTTGGCTATTGTGGGCATTTGGGAAGTGAACCAGAGAATGGGAGATCTCTCCCTTGCTCTGCCTTTCAAATAAACTGAAAATACATAGATAAACATTGAACATATACGGATGCCAGACCAGAGGGTGAAAAGCACTAGGAGGAAAACATTAGGTAGAGATGGGGGTGGGGGTGGAAATTGGCGCTGAGTTGGGGATGCTGTCAGGAAAGAGCTAGCGATTGTGAGCGACAGGTCCTGCAGCTAACCTGGGAGGAGTGTGCAGGTCACAGAGAACAGCGAGGGGAAGCTTCTGAGGCGAGAGCCGGCTTGGCACCGGAAACAGAGCTGGCAGCGTGCAGCATGTGAGAGACGAAGGGAGAGACAGAGGGGCCACGCAGGACGTCCCTGGAACATTGAAGGGGCTTTGATTTTCCTCTGAGTGGGAGGACACACAGTCGGGCTTGGGTTTGGCCCAGGTAACCCTGACTGCTGGGCTGAGATTAGCCACAGTGGAGCAGGAAGACCAGCCAAGACAGCTCAGAGCTGGGTGGCATTGGGGGAGGAGGTGAGTGGTGAGCCATGTCAGGACACGCTTTAAGGGAGACCCTACAGGACTCGCTGATGAGCTGACGTCGGGCATGAGGGAAAGAGAAGACCCAAGGGCAAGTTCTAGCTTTTGGTTGGATCAGTTGGGAGCAAAGAGCTGCCATCCACTAAGACGGAGAAGACGAGGAGCAGCAGGAAGAGGTGACTCTCGGTGGCTGGTTTGGGGGTGTGTGACAGCCAAGGGGGGAGGACCTGAAGGTCCCGGGGGATGCCAGCACACAAGGGTGGTGTTTGAAGTAGGCACTCCACCAAAGGCCGGGTGTGGACAGGAGGGACAAGGAACGCGGTGCACTCAGAGCCCCCTGGCCTCTGCCTCCCAGGCTGCCACAGGGCAGCTGGCCCCCCGTGAGCTGCATTTCATCTGGAAGTGGTAGGAGTGCAGTGGTGAAAACTGCTGTTGGCGGAATTCCTGCAATGGACTTGCTCGTTGTTCCATTTTGATTTTGATCTTAGAATGTGAGCTCAAAATGATTTTTCTTTTGGCTCAGCTGCTTCGAGTATGCGGTGTGTGCCCATGGATGGGTGTGTCTTTGTGAAGTCAGAGGTGAAAGAGTAGGCTGTATGTAGTTGTTCTCATGTGCATGCACACATGGACATGTGTGTTGTTCTCATGTGTGTGCACATATTAACATGCATGTATGTGTGGTTCTCACGTGCACACACTCATATGTGGTTGGTCTCATGTGTGTGCACATGTGAACATGCATGTATGAGTGTGTCTTCATGAAGCTGGAGGTGAAAGGCTATATGAGTTTGTTCTCATGTGTGTGCACATGAACATGCATGTGTGTGTATCTTTGTGAAGTCAGAGGTGAAACAGTGGGCTATATGTAGTTGTTCTCATGTGCGTGCACATGTGCCCACGTGTGTGGTTGTTCTTATGTGTGCACACATATTAACATGCATGTATGTGTGACTTTCATGTGCACACTTGTGTGTGGCTGGTCTTGTGTGTGTACATGTGAACTTGTGTGCCTTCATGAAGCCAGAGTGGGCTATACGTGGTTATTCTCATGTGCATGTGTGTGTTGTTCTCATGTTTGTACACATGAACTTGCATGGATGTGTGGCTTTCATGTGCACACACTCATGTGTGGCTGGTCTTGTGTGTGTACATGTGAACATTTGTGCATATGTGTCTTCATGAAGTCAGAGTGGGCTCTATGTGGTTGTTCTCATGCATGTGCACATGTGAGCATGCATGTGTGTGTGGTTGTTCTTATGTGTGCACATGAACATGCATGTGTGTGTGTGTATCTTTGTGAAGACGGAGGTGAAACAGTGGGCTACCTGTGATTGTTCTCATGGTAACCCAGCACAGTGCCCCTGAAGATAGCACTTAGGAATTTTCTGGATTGGATTCTGTTTTCTAAACTCCAAATCAGGGTGTCTCAGGGTGGGAGTTGGGTGTTGTGTGACCTCCAAGTTCATGAGACAGGCCCGCTGGGAGATGTAGTTCAGGTAACTGAGGATGATGGCGTAGATGGTCTTAAATCCAGAGGTGTGCACAGTCACCGCCTTTGGGGCAGGGGCTCCCCCTCCCCACTCCAGCAACACTAAGCTCAGATGTGCCAGGAACGATCACCCCAGGGCCTTTGCCCTGGCCAATCTTCTGTGTGAAGGTTCCTCTCCCAGAAACGCGCCCACTTGCCTCACTTCTGACTTGCGCGTTTATTATAGTGTTGCCGATTTGGTGAGGCCTGCCCAGGCCCAGCTTTGCAAGCTCCTCTGCCTATGCGTGGCACTCTCTGCCCACCTCCTTGTATCTTTGAGGGTCCGTGGTCTTCTCCACAGCTGGCGGGTGGAAGCCTTCCCTTTCTGCTCATCCGTCTCTGTGCCCCGCCCCTGTAAGATGGAGGCTTTGCAAGGCCAAGCATCCGTCTGTGGCTCCCCAGCAACGGAATCTGCTCCAATGGTACAGTAACAACTCAACAGCCATGCCTTGAATGAACGCCGTGCCAGCTGTGTGGCCATCCTGATTCGAGTACTGAATCCTGAAGGGTTCCACGCAGCATGCAGCCCGTCATCACAGGCTATTGCAAGTCTCCCCTAAAACAAATGAAATTCCCAGGTGCCCCGAATCACCTCGAAGATGCCTGAGCTGGTCCACACACCGCTGGAGTGCCTCAAGGCTGGAATAGCCCAACCTGACATGGCCACCACGGAGGGGCTCGACCACGTGGCCCTCGGCTCCAAGCCTGCCAGTCTCCTGGGAAATTCACTCTCATGGACCCTGAGGGACCCAACACGCGTTCAGCATGCAGTGTTGAAGGTGGGTCCCAGTCGCCAACAATCCTCCAGGGACTGGAGGCAGCGGGAGGCATCCCCAGCTAAGGCTCCCTGGGGGGACCCCCGCCACGCCTGCTGCCCGGCCCCAGCCCAGCTCTGGCCGGTCCTGCAGGGGGTGACGGCCGCATCTGCTCCCTCTCTCACCCAGATGCCAGCCATGCCCTGTCTCTTCGCCCTGTCACTGTGCAGCTGGAATTTGCTTCTATCTGCTCTCATCCCTGAAACGAAACCAAGCAAGCTGTGGACCCCCAAGACATAACACACGAGTCCCTGTGTCTCTACCTCGTTCCTGTCATCCTCGGAGATGGGTTATTTGTTCTGTTACTCACCAGCCACAGTCCTGGGCTTTGCGGGAGAGAAGAGCCTGGGCCGAATCCTATGGCCACTCCCCCGCCCCCCTGTCCTCCCCGTCACCTGCCCCGTGAGCCTCTGACCCTGCTCTGCCTGCTGTCTTCCTTCACCCTACCCCTCTCCTGGGCTGAATTGTGTCTGGAAGAAATCAAAGTCCCCCCCAGTTGTGTGTGGCAATGGGACCGCCGCAGGAGGAGGTTAGGGTCTTTGGAGCCACTGGGGTGGGCCCTCGCCCGCTGTATCCGTGTCCTTAGAGAAGGGAGAGAGATGGGCACAGAGCTACACATGCGTACCTGGAGCATCACGGGAGGGCAAAGGATGAAACGTTCTAAGCACCTGGGGTCAGTAGCAGACCACCAGGAGGAGGGAGAGGCTCTGCCTCCCAGCTCCTGCAGGAACCAGCCCTCAGCACCCGGATCTGAGACGTGTGGCTTTCCCAGCTGTGGCACTGCTCATGTGTGGCCACCATGGGAACTGGATACTGCCCCCTGGCCTGCTCGCTTGCCCAGCCTCCTCTGCCTTCTCCACAATCTCCCTCTGCCTCCATCCGCCCCATGATCTCCTGTCTCAATTCATCTCTTTCTCTGGATCAGTCTAGGCTTTGGATCCCGGCTTCCCCACGACAGACACTGCCATGAAGAAAGCCTCTCACAAGAGCTGGGTCCAGCCTGACTCTGGCCTGGGCTTCCCGGTTCCAGTTGAAGATAAACAAGACCCAGTGACGTCTCAGAGGAGGACTCTAGGTCCCCTCTGGGACTTGGAGAGTCTTTCTCCTAACCTCAGGGAGGTGGAGCAGTCTGCAGCCCGGGTAGACAGCCACTGGGGTCCTGCCTCTGTTCCCTGGAGTTGTCATCAGCCTAGTTGGCAGCCAGAATCCAAGTACTGGGACCATAATCCACTGCCTCTCAGGCACATCAGCAGGAAGCTGGATGAGAAGCAGAGGTGGGACTTGATCCCAGGCCCTCGGATGTGGGATGTGGGTGTCCCATACAATAGTTTAATCCACTTCGCCACCATGCCCACCCCTACGTTATGCATGTAATGAATTGGCAATGACCAGGCTATACCCTAGGACTG